ACACCACTTTAATCAGTTAAAGAAATCTCTGTAGGTGTGCGATTTAAAATGTATATAAATCCATTGTCAGAAGCAAGAAATCATTGCATGTGTGTTCATTTTTGTTTCCTTTGTTAAACAAACAATAATTTTATGAAGAAAGTGAAATTTTTTTTCAGTGAACTGTTTAATGTTTCAATTGATTTTTATATTATTTTGTAATGCTTTGGAATAAAAATGAAAAATGATATAAACCTAACCAAGCAAATGCTAGTAATGAATGTAACTTTTAAAGTGCCTTTTTTTAAAGTTTAATGTCTATGTTTCCACACTTACGTAGTTTGGATAGATTAACAATATCTTCTTCTAAACATTACTATTTATATGGAGTAAAGCGATGATTTTTACAACTAAAAGCCCAACATCAGTAAAATGAACTAAACTGATGTTAAACTGTTGAAAAAAATATAGAAACAAAAATTAGTTTAATAAACCAATATATTTTTGTAAACAAATAAACTTGATTTGCACTTTTTTTGCACAATTTTTGTAAACAAATAATTTTACTTTGCACTTCATTATTTTTGAACAGTTTTTCTTCTTTGTTGATGTGTTTTTTCTTTTTTTGAATCATAATTATCAAAACAATTCTTGATTCAATCAACTATTCAAATTGTTTTAAAATCTGTCTTGATTAAAACAAATCGATAATCTGTTTTGATCTTGATATTATAAACTGATGTGTCGTGTTTTAATTTTTTTTTCCTTTATACTTTAAAATTTGTACAAATCTTGTAAGTTTTGTTTGATTTAGCCTTAAGTTTTACTTTTTTGTTTGCTAGTCTGCATCTTGTGTACCAATTCACAAAAACTTGATGGGCTTGAGTCACAAGTATTTGACAATTATGATTTTTCAAGGTTTTAAATATACAATCTTTAAAATACTAAACAATACATTTGACACCTTTTGAGTTGTAGAGTATTGTTGTTTTGTAAAGTATTTTTGCATAGTAGGGTATTGCTGCATTGTAGAGTACTGTTGTGAAGTGCAAACAAAAAATTAACAACTGAAAATCTATAATCAGTTGCTATTTAGACTTTTAACACATATAATCTTCCGTATTAATAAATTTCAAAATCTCAAAGATTTATGGTTACAAATTTATGGCTTTTAAACAAGCTAATTCAAAAACAGGACAAATACGTTAATATTTCAACATGTGTTCAATTACATAAAGTATTACATGCTATATATGCAGTTAAGAAAATTATTCAGTAATAAAGCAATCTTAACTGAATCGTGACTTTGAACTGATCTGTTATCTCGAAGTTTTTTTTTTTTTTTTTGAATTATGTCATTTTTAACATAAAATATGTCATTATTATATAATGTCACTTTTCTAATATAATGATATGTCTTATAATATTTTTTAATTATAAAAATATGAATTAATGTATTAAATATGTTAAAAAAATAGTATAGTAACAAATATAGCTCTTTCTCCTCGTTAAATAATATTACTTATCGTTTAGGCGATTGATTCTCTGATAAAAGTTTTTCTTTTTTTAGCTTTTTCAGCGTTAAAATCGTTTGCATAAACTCTAACTTGAAAATATTTTCAAATAGAAAATTGTGGTGGAATAGCCTACAAATGACACAGTATTAATGAATTCTGACAAAACTAACTAATTTTGTAGAATTTTAAAATTTATTAGTAATCTTTTCCATTTAGTGGGACTATAGATGCTCCCTCAACAGTAAGAATAGGTTTGTTTTTCTCACAGATATTTGCATTACAATAGCACTGATTTTCATCAAGACCACTCAAATCAGTTAAAGAAATCTCTGTAGTTGTGCGATTTAAAATGTATATAAATCCATTGTCAGAAGCAAGAAACCATTGCATGTGTGTTCATTTTTGTTTCCTTTGTTAAACAAACAATAATTTTATGAAAAAAGTGAAATTTTTTTTCAGTGAACTGTTTAATGTTTTAATTGATTTTTATATTATTTTGTAATTGTTTGGAATAAAAATGAAAAAATGAAATAAACCTAACCAAGCAAATGCTAGTAATGAATGTAACTTTTAAAGTGCCTTTTTTTAAAGTTTAATGTCCATGTTTCCACACTTACGTAGTTTGGATAGATTAACAATATCTTCTTCTAAACATTACTATTTATATGGAGTAAAGCGATGATTTTTACAACTAAAAGCCCAACATCAGTAAAATGAACTAAACTGATGTTAAACTGTTAAAAAAAATTTAGAAACAAAAATTAGTTTAATAAACCAATTTATTTTTGTTAACAAATAAACTTGATTATGGAATTACTTTGCACTCCATTATTTTTAAACAGTTTTTCTTCTTTATTAATGTGTTTTTTCTTTTTTTGAATCATAATTATTAAAACAATTCTTGATTCAATCAACTATTTAAATTATTTTAAAGTCTGTCTTGATTAAAACAAATCGATAATCTGTTTTGATCTTGATATTATAAACTGATGTGTCGTGTTTTAATTTTTTTTTCTTTTATACTTTAAAATTTGTATAAATCTTGTTAGTTTTGTTTGATTTAGCCTTAAGTTTTACTTTTTTGTTCGCTAGTCTGCATCTTGTATTCCAATTCACAATAACTTGATGGGCTTGAGTCACAAGTATTTGACAATTATGATTTTTCAAGGTTTTAAATATACAATCTTTAAAATACTAAACAATACATTTGACACCTTTTGTGTTGTAGAGTATTGATGTTTTGTAAAGTATTTTTGCGTAGTAGGGTATTGCTGCATTGTAGAGTACTGTTGTGATGTGCAAACAAAAAATTTACAACTGAAAATCAGTTGCTATTTTGACTTTTAACACATATAATCTTCCGTATTAATAAATTTCAAAATCTCAAAGATTTATGGTTACAAATTTAAACAAGCTTAAGATTTATGGTTACAAATTTAAACAAGCTAATTCAAAAACAGGACAAATACGTTAATATTTCAACATGTGTTCAATTACATAAAGTATTACTTGCTATATATGCAGTTAGGAAAAGTATTCAGTAATGAAGCAATCTTAACTGAATCGTGACTTTGAACTGATCTGTTATCTCGAAGTTTTTTGTTTTTTTGTTTGAATAATGTCATTTTTAACATAAAATATGTCATTATTATAAAATGTCACTTTTCTAATATAATGATATGTCTTATGATATTTTTTTAATATAAAAATATGAATTAATGTATAAAATTTGTTAAAAAAATAGTATAGTTACTAATATAGCTCTTTCTCTTTGTTAAATAATATAACTTATCGTTTAGGCGATTAATTCCTTGGAAAAAGCTTTTCTTTTTTAAGCTTTTTCAGCGTTAAAATCGTTTGCATATACTCTAACTTGAAAATATTTTTAAAGAGAAAATTGTGGTGGAATAGCCTACAAATGACACAGTATTAATAAATTCTGACTATATTAACTAATTTTGAAGAATTTTAAAATTTATTGGTAATCTTTTTTATTTAGTGGGACTATAGATGCACCCTCAACAGAAAGAATAGGTTTGTTTTTATCACAGATATTTGCATTACTATAGCACTGACTTTCATCTACACCACTTTAATCAGTTAAAGAAATCTCTGTAGGTGTGCGATTTAAAATGTATATAAATCCATTGTCAGAAGCAAGAAATCATTGCATGTGTGTTCATTTTTGTTTCCTTTGTTAAACAAACAATAATTTTATGAAGAAAGTGAAATTTTTTTTCAGTGAACTGTTTAATGTTTCAATTGATTTTTATATTATTTTGTAATGCTTTGGAATAAAAATGAAAAATGATATAAACCTAACCAAGCAAATGCTAGTAATGAATGTAACTTTTAAAGTGCCTTTTTTTAAAGTTTAATGTCTATGTTTCCACACTTACGTAGTTTGGATAGATTAACAATATCTTCTTCTAAACATTACTATTTATATGGAGTAAAGCGATGATTTTTACAACTAAAAGCCCAACATCAGTAAAATGAACTTAACTGATGTTAAACTGTTGAAAAAAATATAGAAACAAAAATTAGTTTAATAAACCAATATATTTTTGTAAACAAATAAACTTGATTTGCACTTTTTTTGCACAATTTTTGTAAACAAATAATTTTACTTTGCACTTCATTATTTTTGAACAGTTTTTCTTCTTTGTTGATGTGTTTTTTCTTTTTTTGAATCATAATTATTAAAACAATTCTTGATTAAATCAACTATTCAAATTGTTTTAACATCTGTCTTGATTAAAACAAATCGATAATCTGTTTTGATCTTGATATTATAAACTGATGTGTCGTGTTTTAATTTTTTTTTCCTTTATACTTTAAAATTTGTACAAATCTTGTAAGTTTTGTTTGATTTAGCCTAAAGTTTTACTTTTTTGTTTGCTAGTCTGCATCTTGTATACCAATTCACAATAACTTGATGGGCTTGAGTCACAAGTATTTGACAATTATGATTTTTAAAGGTTTTAAATATACAATCTTTAAAATACTAAACAATACATTTGACACCTTTTGTGTTGTAGAGTATTGTTGTTTTGTAAAGTATTTTTGCATAGTAGGGTATTGCTGCATTGTAGAGTACTGTTGTGATGTGCAAACAAAAAATTTACAACTGAAAATCTATAATCAGTTGCTATTTTGACTTTTAACACATATAATCTTCCGTATTAATAAATTTCAAAATCTCAAAGATTTATGGTTACAAATTTATGGCTTTTAAACAAGCTAATTCAAAAACAGGACAAATACGTTAATATTTCAACATGTGTTCAATTACATAAAGTATTACATGCTATATATGCAGTTAGGAAAAGTATTCAGTAATGAAGCAATCTTAACTGAATCGTGACTTTGAACTGATCTGTTATCTCGAAGTTTTTTGTTTTTTATTTTGAATAATGTCATTTTTAACATAAAATATGTCATTATTATAAAATGTCACTTTTCTAATATAATGATATGTCTTATGATATTTTTTTAACCCTTTCTGGCCGGTTGTGTAGAATTTTACACATACCGAGATCCACGCGCTGCTTTAATAGCAGTGGCGTTTAGAACGTTATGACCGGTTGTCGCGTATTGTACACATACCTAGGATGACGATAAAATCGTTGAACCAATGACGTTCTTACTTTGGATTCTTGGCTCGAGCTTTGTTTACAGGGATTTTGTGAGAAGGTCTACGGTGTTACTACGAGACGGAAGACCTGACTATTCCGAGTTATACAGGTTAGTTATAACCATGAAATGTTATGGATTTTATGTAGTAGTGGTGTCTTTGTATAGTAGTACCTTGAATTTGTAGCTGGATTGCAGGAATAAATTTTTATGTGGTGTTTTTTGTATGTGTGGAATTATACACAATCGGGCATAGCATTGAATATAACAGATACAAAATTGACACTCTTCAGCTTAGTATTGTGTGATATAACATGCTGGAATGACAGATTATTTGTTTATGATTTGTTATGGTGAAATATATTTATATTTTACCATGTTCATAATAGTGTTCAATTTTATTACTACTAGGAATAATAATTATAATACTAATAGTAGTAATAATAATAATAATTTATTACTAATATTATTATTATTATTGCTGGTAATACAAGCAGCTACAATAGTATCATAGCCATGTTTTAGTATAGTTATTATATATTTGTTTAGTGTTCTTATAGATACCAATTATATCTGCTATACTTTTATAGAGTGTCTGAGGTGCGACTTAGGGTTAGGCTAGAGTTAGTAATTAGGGCAAGTTTGGGCTATATTATGATTTGTAATATTATTACTATTATTATTTGTGATATAGTATTTGCTATAATGATTGTTCTGTTAGTAGTGATATTGATATTATTTTTGTATCTGTGCATATTTTATATTTTTTTTGTATTTTTTATTGCAAACATAGTGATAAATAATACTAGATACCAATACTAATCATAGCATAAATTGTATTCTGATTTTAGATGAAGCCTGTTCAGTTCTACAAGAAGACTGCTACAACAGCTCGTTTTGTTCGTAACATTCCTGCAGAAAGTGATGATGATGAGCTCTCGTCGAGTGACAATGAAGTTGCTGAAGTATCATCTGGTGACGATACAGAAGAATACGAAGTATCTGACCAGCAAGACAGCAGCGATGATGAGCAGCCTTCCACTTCTGCTGCTGTTGGAAGATCTACTGTTTGGAAATGTGTTACTGGCCAATCATCTGCAAAGTCAATGCCAGAGTCTGCTGATCAACGTGCTTCTGCTGATACCATAAAGTCGCCAGTATAGTACTTTCGTTACTTCTTTGACAGTGGGTTGGTGGAACACATTACTGATCACACCAATCTGTATGCAACACAAAAAGATGTAAATAAGCCTATTGGTTGTTCCAAGGATGAAATTGAACAGTTTCTTGGTATGACTATGTACATGTCTATTTTTAATCTGCCAAGAAGTAAGATGTACTGGGGCAAAGCATCGCGTTTGTCACAGGTTGCAGATGTGATGTCACGTGACAGGTGGGTTGAACTGAAAAGTAATCTTCACTTCAACGACAATGGAAATATGCTTGCTCCAGATGACGTTCAGAGAGATAAATTGTTCAAAATACGTCCGTTGATTGACTCTCTCTTGCCAAAGTTACATTCACTGGAAGTTGACCATAAGTTGTCAGTGGATGAACAAATTATCCCATTCAAGGGACAGTCGGGAATGAAACAGTACATTCCGAGCAAGCCCTACAAATGGGGCTATAAAGTGTTTATGCTGTGTGATGTGACTGGAATTGTGCATAATTTCATAATATACACTGGAAAGATTCAGGCAGCATCCAATCAAGCAAACATTGGTGCCAGTGGCAACATTGTGCTTCAGCTGGTCGAGGTCTTGCCGCAAGAGAAGCAGTACCTGTTGTTTTTTGACAATTGGTTTACGTCACTGAAGTTGCTGTCAGCCCTAGCTAATAGGAACATATTAGCAGTTGGGACAGTTCGTGCGAATCGTCTTCAGAATTGCAAGATGATTGCTGATGCAACTCTGAAGAAGAAAGGGCGTGGCTCATTTGAAGAAAGAGAGGGTGTGGTCAATGGTGTCGAAGTTCGAGTTGTCAAGTGGTTTGACAACAAGTCTGTAACACTAGCCAGTACATTTGCTAGTGCAGAACCAGTGTCAACTGCGAGGCGGTGGGATCGTACTACAAAGCAGCATATTGACGTGCCACGCCCAGAAATCATACAGATCTACAACAAGTTCATGGGAGGAGTTGATACCCTGGATGCCATCATGGCGAGGTATCGGATCCACTTGAAATCAAAGAAATATTACCACCGCTTTTTTTTCCATTTTGTGGACTTGGCAGTGGCAACTGGCTGGTTACTGTATCGCCGGGATTGTCGTGATATGGGAGTTGATAAGCGTCAGCAGAAGGATCTTATGGCCTTCAAGCTTGAAATAGCTGATGCTCTTTGTCGTGAAGGCAAAGACATGACAGCAAAGAAGCGTGGCAGACCATCAACCAGTATGGAGGCAGAGCTGCAGCGCAAGAAGAAGAGGGGACCTGCTAAGCCTGTGCCAACTCAGGATGTTCGCACAGACTCTGTTGGTCACTGGCCGGCACATGGTGTGAGGCAGAGGTGCAAGCGTCCAGGGTGCAAAGGACAAACTGTTTTTGTATGCACTAAGTGCAATGCAAATCTTTGCCTTTCAAAGAAGAGTAACTGTTTTCGCCAGTTTCACGAATAACTGTTGATAACTGTGTTATTGTACCTTGTCTTATACGGCCGTTGTATCCTGTTGTGTACAATACGCGACATAGCTATCTTTTGCTGTATGAAATGTTTTATATAATTTTTTCTGTCTGGGTTTGATTTTTGACTTATAATAGGTGTGTTTTCAAGAAAAAATTTTTTTTGCATAATACATACATTTTTTGCATAATACATTTGCATAATTCAGGCCAGAAAGGGTTAATATAAAAATATGAATTAATGTATGAAATATGTTAAAAAAATAGTATAGTTACTAATATAGCTCTTTCTCTTTGTTAAATAATATTACTTATCGTTTAGGCGAATAATTCTTTGGAAAAAGCTTTTCTTTTTTAAGCTTTTTCAGCGTTAAAATCGTTTGCATATACTCTAACTTAAAAATATTTTTAAATAGAAAATTGTGGTGGAATAGCCAACAAATGACACAGTATTAATAAATTCTGACTATATTAACTAATTTTGACGAATTTTGAAATTTATTTGTAATCTTTTCCATTTAGTGGGACTATAGATGCTCCCTCAACAGTAAAAATAGGTTTGTTTTTCTCACAGATATTTGCATTGCTATAGCACTGATTTTCATCTAGACCACTTTAATCAGTTAAAGAAATCTCTGTAGGTGTGCGATTTAAAATGTATATAAATCCATTGTCAGAAGCAAGAAACCATTGCATGTGTGTTCATTTTTGGTTCCTTTGTTAAACAAACAATAATTTTATGAATAAAGTGAAATTTTTTTTCAGTGAACTGTTTAATGTTTTAAATGATTTTTATATTATTTTGTAATGCTTTGGAATAAAAATAAAAAATGATATAAACCTAACCAAGCAAATACTAGTAATGAATGTAACTTTTAAAGTGCCTTTTTTTAATGTTTAATGTCCATGTTTCCACACTTACGTAGTTTGGATAGATAAACAATGTCTTCTTCTGAACATTACTATTTATATGGAGTAAAGCGATGATTTTTACAACTAAATGCCCAACATCAGTTAATTGAACTTAACTGATGTTAAACTGTTGAAAAAAATATAGAAACAAAAATTAGTTTAATATACCAATATATTTTTGTAAACAAATAAACTTGATTATGGAATTACTTTGCACTTCATTATTTTTAAATAGTTTTTCTTCTTTATTGATGTGTTTTTTCTTTTTTTGAATCATAATTTTTAAACAATACTTGATTCAATCAACTATTAAAATTATTTTAAAATCTGTCTTGATTAAAACGAATCGATAATCTGTTTTGATCTTGATATTATAACCTGATGTGTCGTGTTATAATCTTTTTTTCTTTTATACTTTAAAATTTGTACAAATCTTGTTAGTTTTGTTTGATTTAGCCTAAAGTTTTACTTTTTTGTTTGCTAGTCTGCATCTTGTATACCAATTCACAATAACTTGATGGGCTTGAGTCACAAGTATTTGACAATTATGAATTTTCAAGGTTTTAAATATACAATCTTTAAAATACTAAACAATACATTTGACACCTTTTGTGTTGTAGAGTATTGTTGTTTTGTAAAGTATTTTTGCATAGTAGGGTATTGCTGCATTGTAGAGTACTGTTGTGAAGTGCAAGCAAAAAATTTACAACTGAAAATCTATAATCAGTTGCTATTTTGACTTTTAACACATATAATCTTCCGTATTAATAAATTTCAAAATCTCAAAGATTTATGGTTACAAATTTATGGCTTTTAAACAAGCTAATTCAAAAACAGGACAAATACGTTAATATTTCAACATGTGTTCAATTACATAAAGTATTACATGCTATATATGCAGTTAGGAAAAGTATTCAGTAATGAAGCAATCTTAACTAAATCGTGACTTTGAACTGATCTGTTATCTCGAAGTTTTTTGTTTTTTTTTTTGAATAATGTCATTTTTAACATAAAATATGTCATTATTATAAAATGTCACTTTTCTAATATAATGATATGTCTTATGATATTTTTTTAATATAAAAATATGAATTAATGTATAAAATATGTTAAAAAAATAGTATAGTTACTAATATAGCTCTTTCTCTTTGTTAAATAATATTACTTATCGTTTAGGCGATTAATTCTTTGGAAAAAGGTTTTCTTTTTTTAACTTTTTCAGCGTTAAAATCGTTTGCATATACTCTAACTTGAAAATATTTTTAAAGAGAAAATTGTGGTGGAATAGCCTACAAATGACACAGTATTAATAAATTCTGACTATATTAACTAATTGTGTAGAATTTTAAAATTTATTAGTAATCTTTTTCATTTAGTGGGACTATAGATGCTTCCTCAACAGTATGAATAGGTTTGTTTTTCTTACAGATATTTGCATCACTATAGCACTGATTTTCATCTAGACCACTTTAATCAGTTAAAGAAATCTCTGTAGGTGTGCGATTTAAACTGTATATAAATCCATTATCAGAAGCAAGAAACCATTGCATGTGTGTTCATTTTTAGTTCCTTTGTTAAACAAACAATAATTTTATGAATAAAATGAAATTTTTTTTCAGTGAACTGTTTAATGTTTTCATTGATTTTTATATTATTTTGTAATGGTTTGGAATAAAAATGAAAAATGATATAAACCTTACCAAGCAAATGCTAGTAATGAATTTAACTTTTAAAGTGCCTTTTTTTAAAGTTTAATGTTTATGTTTCCACACTTACGTAGTTTGGATAGATTAACAATATCTTCTTCTAAACATTACTATTTATATGGAGTAAAGCGATGATTTTTACAACTAAAAGCCCAACATCAGTAAAATGAACTTAACTGATGTTAAACTGTTGAAAAAAATATAGAAACAAAAATTAGTTTAATAAACCAATATATTTTTGTAAACAAATAAACTTGATTATGGAATTACTTTGCACTCCATTATTTTTAAACAGTTTTTATTCTTTGTTGATGTGTTTTTTCTTTTTTTGAATCATATTTCTTAAAACATTTCTTGATTCAATCAACTATTAAAATTATTTTAAAATCTGTCTTGATTAAAACAAATCGATAATCTGTTTTGATCTTGATATTATAAACTGATGTGTCGTGTTTTAATTTTTTTACCTTTATACTTTAAAATTTGTACAAATCTTGTTAGTTTTGTTTGATTTAGCCTTAAGTTTTACTTTTTTGTTTGCTAGTCTGCATCTTGTATACCAATTCACAATAACTTGATGGGCTTGAGTCACAAGTATTTGACAATTATGATTTTTCAAGGTTTTAAATATACAATCTATAAAATACTAAACAATACATTTGACACCTTTTGTGTTGTAGAGTATTGTTGTTTTGTAAAGTCTTTTTGCATAGTAGGGTATTGCTGCATTGTAGAGTACTGTTGTGAAGTGCAAACAAAAAATTTACAACTGAAAATCTATAATCAGTTGCTATTTTGACTTTTAACACATATAATCTTCCGTATTAATAAATTTCAAAATCTCAAAGATTTATGGTTACAAATTTATGGCTTTTAAACAAGCTAATTCAAAAACAGGACAAATACGTTAATATTTCAACATGTGTTCAATTACATAAAGTATTACATGCTATATATGCAGTTAGGAAAAGTATTCAGTAATGAAGCAATCTTAACTGAATCGTGACTTTGAACTGATCTGTTATCTCGAAGTTTTTTGTTTTTTTTTTTGAATAATGTCATTTTTAACATAAAATATGTCATTATTATAAAATGTCACTTTTCTAATATAATGATATGTCTTATGATATTTTTTTAATATAAAAATATGAATTAATGTATAAAATATGTTAAAAAAATAGTATAGTTACTAATATAGCTCTTTCTCTTTGTTAAATAATATTACTTATCGTTTAGGCGATTAATTCTTTGGAAAAAGCTTTTCTTTTTTAAGCTTTTTCAGCGTTAAAATCGTTTGCATATACTCTAACTTGAAAATATTTTTAAAGAGAAAATTGTGGTGGAATAGCCTACAAATGACACAGTATTAATAAATTCTGACTATATTAACTAATTTTGAAGAATTTTAAAATTTATTGGTAATCTTTTTTATTTAGTGGGACTATAGATGCTCCCTCAACAGAAAGAATAGGTTTGTTTTTATCACAGATATTTGCATTACTATAGCACTGATTTTCATCTAGACCACTTTAATCAGTTAAAGAAATCTCTGTAGGTGTGCGATTTAAAATGTATATAAATCCATTGTCAGAAGCAGGAAACCATTGCATGTGTGTTCATTTTTGTTTTCTTTGTTAAACAAACAATAATTTTATGAAGAAAGTGAAATTTTTTTTCAGTGAACTGTTTAATGTTTCAATTGATTTTTATATTATTTTGTAATGCTTTGGAATAAAAATGAAAAATGATATAAACCTAACCAAGCAAATGCTAGTAATGAATGTAACTTTTAAAGTGCCTTTTTATAAAGTTTAATGTCTATGTTTCCACACTTACGTAGTTTGGATAGATTAACAATATCTTCTTCTAAACATTACTATTTATATGGAGTAAAGCGATGATTTTTACAACTAAAAGCCCAACATCAGTAAAATGAACTTAACTGATGTTAAACTGTTGAAAAAAATATAGAAACAAAAATTAGTTTGATAAACCAATATATTTTTGTAAACAAATAAACTTGATTTGCACTTTTTTTGCACAATTTTTGTAAACAAATAATTTTACTTTGCACTTCATTATTTTTGAACAGTTTTTCTTCTTTGTTGATGTGTTTTTTCTTCTTTTTAATCATAATTATTAAAACCATTCTTGATTCAATCAACTATTCAAATTGTTTTAACATCTGTCTTGATTAAAACAAATCGATAATCTGTTTTGATCTTGATATTATAAACTGATGTGTCGTGTTTTAATTTTTTTTTCCTTTATACTTTAAAATTTGTACAAATCTTGTAAGTTTAGTTTGATTTAGCCTAAAGTTTTACTTTTTTGTTTGCTAGTCTGCATCTTGTATACCAATTAACAATAACTTGATG